TACATTGGCCACAGATGCTTTTCCGGAAAAAGGGCTTTTCCGGAAAAGCAGCCTGCCAATGTAGACGCTCTTTTTCCGGAAATACTTATAACGAAAACTATTCTGTTTTAAGCATTTCCGGAAATTCATGCCAGTGTAGACACAGCCCATATGTTTAGTGATAATGATGCAAAAGTCTGCTTTCTTAGGGCTTCATTCTGTCATTTTGTAGACTTGTCTACGCAAACAAAACCTACATGGATTTTGTTCCATACTTTTCACAATCTCTGTCTGACATTGGCTGTTGTTAGATCCATATTTCTGCCTTCTTCTTAGACTTTAATTTGGGTTTTAATCAATGAAGGTGATGAAGGGGAACAGCCAGCAGCCTGTATGAAGCAGTGAGGGGAGCTATAGCCCCCTTGCCCTCCCTAAAGGGCACCTGAAGGTAGGAGGGTTGGGACTGGAGCAGTCCTGGGAGGGAGAGATGCCCCCAACCAGCCCCTTTCACCTGCTTGGTGAGTCTGTCTTTTTTTTTTTATGGTTTTATGCATCCCCATACGAATTGGAGTGTGGGGAGCTTCAGCCTGCCCACACACATAACAAAATCCCTACCTTGTTTTAAGTTACGATAGATGGAAGCTGTATACCAAATTTGGTGGTCTTAGCTCTTATCATTTAGGAGAAACAAATGGATGGACTCCTGTGTCATGTCAGATACAAGATTTATTTGGGCATAAGCTTTCATAGGTAAAACCCACTTCATCAGATAACTTCCACTCCAATTCATCTGATGAAGTGGGTTTTACCCATGAAAGCTTATGCCCTAATAAGTCTGCCAGCCTCTGAGATGCCACAGGACTCCACTTTGTTTTTTGCAGATACAGACTAACACTGTTACTTCTCTTAGATGTTTAGGAGGAGAACTTTTTATTGTGTCCCTGTACCAGTTGGGGGAGAGCTTCAGCCCCCATCCCACATAACTAAATCCAGACTTTGCTTTAAGTTATGATAAGATGAAGATGCAGACCAAATTTGATAGTTCTAGCTCTTCCCATTTATGAGGAGTTTTTGAACAAACAGATGGACAGACAGACTCGTTCACAGACTGACAAACTTTCTCAAATATATAGTAGATTTAGAAAGTACAGTCTCTCCCTACATTGATTGGGTTTAAATGTGAGCCATGTTCTGTTGTACTGTACTATGATTTAAACATCATCTTACAGCATGTGGCTGGGATGGCATGTAGAATATTGATAGCAAGGCAAAAGTTTTCAACAGCTGAGGATTTTGCAATGGAAATGAGTCAGGATCTGATACACCTTCCAGCAATGTCATAGAAAAAATATGAAAGCCAGTTGTGAATTTTAGTGATCACATATATAAACACTCATCATGGGTGGTCAGTGAAGGGCAAAACACTTCCTGAATTATATCCACATGGTTCATAATAAAGTTGCACATCTGCACAATCTTGTACACAAATTATTTTACATTAGTTCAGTGGTATCTTCTATTTATTTTACAGGAGAAAGATCTATCTGCTTCAAATGGAAAGATAAAAACAGCCATCTAACTGGATAAACCCACCAGTTTTAAGTAAAACCACATTGTTTGTTTGCTTTGTTTGTTTGTTGTAGGTTTTGTGTCATGTACATTTCTGTGATGAATGCACTGCTCTAGTATCCTCTAGCACTCTGGCTTGAGCATGGAAGAATCAGCATAAATTGATGGCAGATTCTCAAAGACAATTGCTCACAAATTTAGATGAGTGATAAGTCCCAGTGGGATGGATTGGAAGCTATCTCCTCCCCATTTCCCCTTGCATTATGTGATTACATCTGATTTTTCTGTCCCTTTTATAACTTTTGTCTCCTTTATTGTATGTCTTTGTTTCTTTTCTGATTGTATTTGGCTCTGATGTGTTTTTTTTTATTGACTCCTCAGCTCTGGTAGCTGCAGGTCCCTACCTCAGAAGGCTGCACATCACTCAAGACAGAGCTGAGTGCTTAGGAGGAAAACATGGACTGGCAGGCTGCTCCCAAGCTCTGCATCCCTGTGCTTGAAAGCTGTTTCTGCATCCAGTTACATCTGTGGCCACCACAGGAGCCCTGGGAGAAGGTTTCTTTCTACCAGTACTGTCATCTTCAAACTCAGCAATAGATTTGCAGGGAGTGGCAAGGTGTAGTTTGAGTTATGTCACTTTTTCCACCTACACAAATCCTGTCCTCTGTCATGCATATTTGCCTGAAATGGTTTTGTGCCTCTAGCTTAAACTTTGCATTAAACGCTGGACTAATGCAAAAGCTCTTTCGAAGTCTAGACCAGTGGTTCTCAACCAGAGGTACAAGTACTGATGAGGCTATGCAGTGGTCTTCCAGAAGGGTACATCAGCTCATTTTGCACTTTTGATATGTCTAATTTACATCCCTCTGCTGACAGAGAGGTGTAGTTTAGATGTAGCCTTAGATATTTGCCTAGTTTTACACCAGTTATAAAGCCCTAGCATAGGCAGTACTAAGTAAAATTTCATACAATAACTTTTATACAGCTTTACATACTCTACG